CTTGCTTTCTGGCGAGCACACACACCCTACAGAAAGAAACCTCTAAAAAAAAATTTTTTTTTTTTAAATAATAGCTCATTAAAAATTACTAAAGTGCCCACTGGGAAAGGCTAGTTTTTCAGTGTTATCAAAGTGAATGCATGTCAACAAGGATGCAACCCCCACCCTCTTGCTAGCATTGTTTTTCAGTCTTTCAAGTCACTACCATTCTGATTAATGAAAGATGATGTCTGATACATCATTTCTGTGGTCTTTTTTTCTTTTTTGGGGGAGAGGTTTTCGCTATAGGGCGCGTACGCTCGCCAGACAGACAAAAAGAGACAGAGAGACAGAAAGCGAGAAATCACCCCCCAGGGGGGATGGTCACGCCGCAATCCCTTCTCCTCCATTCTCCTCTTGGGATCTTGGGCACTCATGCACACACACCCGGCGTGAGTTTTAAGCCACCGGATCCGGGACGCGAACCGCAGTCGACTACGTGGGAGTCCAGCAACATAGCCATTACGCTAACTGCTGGTTCCCTCTTTTTTTTCTTTTTTAAAATTTAACAGAGGACATGTGCACTTGCCCAGAAAGAAGGTGAGAGAGGAAGAATATCCCCCAGTGTGGTGTGGTCACACTTCAGTCCTTTCTCCTCCATTTCTCCATCCTATCAGAATTTTTTTGGTGTGCACGCACATGTGCCTAGCATGTTTCTCAAGCCCCCAAGGCTGGGATTCAAACCATGGTCAGCCATGTAGGATCCGTTAACCACTAGGCTATGAATCTGGCCCAGTCTTATTTTTTTATGTTTAAAACTTTAAGCTATTTTGAATTCATTTCTGTGCATGATATGAACAGTTTCTCCGAACCAGTATGCTAATTAATTAGAGATTTATAAGAAGAAAAATATAAATTTATTACATTAAGAAAACTTATTGGGCTGTCTGCAGGTGGCGTGGTGGTTAAAGATGCAGGATTCCCACATGGCCAATCACTGTTCAGATCTCGAACCTAATAGCTTCTTTCTTCTTTTCCCTTTTTCTCTTTCTCTCTCTTTCTTTCTCTGGTAAAATTTTAAAAATAATAATAATAAAATGAATTAAATAAATAATAAAAAAATAAAAATAGAATACTAAAAAAAAAAACAGAAAAAGTTTCTTTCAGCTGAGGAATTTAATTGTGGGACAGCCACTGAAGAGAAGGATGTATGTGCAGGTGCAAGGCTGCAAAAGGTGCTACAGAAACAAATCCAGTACGTACCTCTGTAGTCTGGACAGCCCTTTGTCTCTAATGACTGTTTTCATCGCCAGTTAGTTATATATGACTCTTTCTATTCAAATCTGCCCTAAATACTGTTAATTGCTTTGGATTACAATATAACCTACTTACTGACCTGTATTACCTGCACAGTTGTTAAAAATAGGAAGTTAAGGTGATAGTAACCAGCAGTCACATCCCTTACAGTGAACTCCGTTCGCCATTTTCATTGTAATAAATTAACTGCTTGAAATTGCACTCCCAGAAGTAGGTGGTCTGGGGCCAGAACTAAGTACATGCCTGTTTTTGAAATTCAGAAATACCTAGAGCTAATTTCTACACCTGGCCTCAGGGAGACTTAAGTAATTGAGAGATAATTGCTTTACTTTGAGTGGCATCACTCATTTTTTTATCCTTGTTTAGACATTTTCCTAGCAGCCTCTTTATTACATTTTTATTTTGTTCTGATTTACTTTCTCAAGAGTAGCATCTTTAACCTGATTATACTCATGAGAGGTCATGGAAGGACCAACCATGTATGTTAGTCTGGCACCTTCTCTTTTTTTCCAGTAATAAATTCATTCATTTCTCTTTTTTCCCTCAACTGAGGCAGAAAGAGAAACCTGGACAGTGAATAATCACCAGTGAGATGTCTAATGAGATTATGATATCTGATGAGGTTATTTCTTTTGGTCATTGACCATGGTACAGTCTTTAAGACATAAGGCTTTGGAATTAGATTCCCTGGGTTCACATACTGGTCATATTGTTAGCTGCATGACTCCAAGACAGTGTCCTCATCTGCATATTTGAATCACTTCATAGGATTACTGTGGAAATTAATGCAATAACACACATAGGAGCATGCCTTTCACATAATGTGTACAGAAATTGGCAACTTTCTATATCATTGTTAGATATTAAATGCCTTATTCTTAATGACCATCCCTTTTTTGATTAAGCAGCTATCACTCAAACCCTTCCTCAAACTGGATTTGTCATTAAGCTTATTATGTATGGGAGTTGAGATTAGGTTTAGCTGTTAATAATAGCAAATTCAAAATGGCTATAGTGTAATAAGCATACAATGATTTTTTTTTTTTTGAGAAGTTTTTGCTGTAGGGCACGTGCGCTCACCAGAAAGACAGACAGACAGAGAGACAGAAAGCAAGAAATCACCCCCCGGGGGGAATGGCCACACCACAATCCCTTCTCTTCCATTCTCCTCTTGGGATCTTGGGCATGCATGCACATGCACCTGGCGTGAGTTTAAGCCACTGGGTCCGAGACTCGAACCGTGGTCAACTACATAGGAGTCCAGCGACATAGCCATTACACTAATTTCTGGTCCCAGCACACGATGACTTTCTTCTGTGTCATTAAAGAAGTCTGAACATAGATACTGTAGGTCTAGCTCTGGTATGCTAACTTTATAGAGTCATCAAAAACTGGTGATTCTGGCCCAGCCATGGTAGCATGTGCTGGTAGGTGCTGCCACTTGGCAGGCTGAGGACATATAGGGAGGACCAAGTTCTATTCCCAGCCCATTCTAAAAAGGACACCTGTAGTCTCACCTCTCAGGAGTGTCGTGACATTGCAAGACCCTTTCTTTGAAACAAAGCAAAGCACCATGATTCTTCTTTTTCTCTCGCACTTGGCTTGCCTCCTCAAGGCTATTTTGTGGTTCAAAATGGCTACTAAAGTGTCAACTGTCATTTCTGAGTTGTAGGATAGAAGAAAAATAGAAAAGACTTCATCCAAGCCATTCTCTCTTTCCTCTATAACCTTCCCAGAAATCCTTTATGCTTCCTTTATTTACAGAACTTAGTCACATGGCACACCTCGCTGCACCTGAGGCTGGAAAAGGCAGTATTCTGGCTGAGTTTTATTTCTGCCTCAGTATATTTGATTTCTGTTACTAGTGAAGAAAGGGAGAATGGTTGTTGAATGGAAGCCATTGATCTCTGTCATAGCTTATTCTTACTGGAACAACCAAGCAAATACTACTGTGATATTTGGTTAAGAACTTTTCTGTGTTACAGTGACATTTTCACTGTACAGAAATTCCTAAGTAGAAGAGTTTAAATTACAGTGATTTCTTTAATGATCAAACTATTTCTGAGTACAGCCAACCTTTGAGGACCCCTCTTGATGTCTGACTGGAAATAATTAGACTGGGAGCCTGGTTACTTTTGCTTAGATCTTATTTTTATGCCACTTAGCACTTGAATTTCAATGAGAAAAATGTTGGGAAGGTGGAATGCCACCCTGCTAAACGCTTGAAGCACTAATTCAGAGGTTTCTTTGTAGATCTATGGCAGCGTATGGGAGAAGTTACGCCGGGCTTTTGCCATTTGGAGTGGCTTTGGTATGACCCTGACTGGCGTTCACACTTGTGGAGATTACATGTTCAGTGGCCACACGGTCGTCCTAACTATGCTGAATTTCTTTGTCACTGAATGTAAGTAGTTCTTCAGTACCTCACTGCATCAGAAATAACTAGTTGCAGAGGGGATTCTGGGAAAGGTGTCAAGTCCTATGAAGAAGGGGCAGAAGAGCCTCACCTAAGAAATATGGGCCAAGGACCTGGCAGGTGACGTGGTGGTTAAGGGCACTGGATTCCCACATGCTAACCACAGTTCAAGTCTGGGACCTGGTGACTTACTTTCTCACTTTCTCTCTCGTTCTATCTTGCTGTGTCCCTCTCTGGTCAAATTTAAATAAATAAAGTTAAATTAAAAATAATTCTATAATAATAATAGTAGTAGTAGTAATAAATAAAATCAATAATCCTTTGGGGCTGGCAGGTGGTGTTAAGGGTGCTGGATTCCCACATGGCCAACTACAGTTCAAGTCTTGGTGATTTGCTTTCTTGCTTTCTCTCTCTCCCTCTCTGTCCTTCTCAGGGCAAAAATTTTTTTTTGGAGGTGGAGAGGTTTTTGCTATAGGGCATGTGCGCTTGCCAAAAAGACAGAGACAGAGAGACAGAAAGCTAGAAGTCGCCCCCCAGAGGGGATGGCCATGCCACAATCCCTTCTCCATTATCCTCTCGGGATCTTGGGCACACACACACACGTGCCTGGCGTGAGTTTAAGCCACTGGGTCTGGGACTCGAACCGTGGTCAACTATGTGGGAGTCCAGCGACATAGCCATTATGCATGCCATCTGCTGGTCCCCTCTGGTCAAATTAAAATAAATAAATAAACAAATAAATAAAGTTAAATAAATAAAACAGCACAATTTAAAAAAAAAAAAGAAAGAAAAGAAACATGGGCCAAGAATTGCTGAAAAGAATATGGTTTTAAAATATCTTTCTGGGTAGGACTAGTAGTTGATATAATGGCTATGTCACTGGACTCCCACATAATCAACTGTGGTTTGAGTCGTGGACCCAGTGGCTTAAAACCACGCCAGGGGCATGTGCATGTGTGCCCAAAATCTCAAGAGGAGAATAGAGGAGACAGGATTGTGGCATGACCATCCCCCCTGGAGGGTGATTTCTTGCTTTCTGTCTCTCTGTCTCTGTCTTTCTGGCAAGCACACACGCCCTATAGTAAAAACCTCTCAAAAAAAAAAATCTTTCTGCAAACTGGCAGGTGGTGTGGTGTTTAAGGGCGCTGGACTCCCACGTGTACAACCACAGTTTGAGTCCTGAACTTGGTGGCTTGCTTTTTTACTTTGTCTCTCTCTCTGTCTCTGCCCCTCTCTGGTCAAAATGAAAAATTATTAAGTAAATAAAGTTAAATGAAATAATTAAAAAAAAAACTTTCTGTTCTTTTCTTAGATACACCAAGAAGCTGGAATTTCTTACACACTTTATCCTGGGTTCTCAACCTTTTTGGAATCTTCTTCATCTTGGCTGCCCATGAACATTATTCTATTGATGTGTTTATTGCCTTTTATATCACAACGAGACTCTTTTTGTACTACCATACTCTGGCCAATACCAGAGCGTATCAGCAGAGTAGGAGAGCAAGGATTTGGTTTCCCATGTTTTCTTTTTTTGAATGCAATGTGAATGGCACAGTACCTAATGAATATTGTTGGCCATTTGCAAAACCAGCAATAATGAAAAGACTAATTGGGTGAAGACTGTATCTTCATTCTGAGTTTGTGATTAAATATACAGTAGTTGTTGAAAATGAATAATAACTTGCTCTCTCCTATAGGTTGTACCTGGATGCCTTGTTTTTTTGGCTTGTGTGTTGACAAATTTCCCTGTTCTGAGCAAGGCTGTGATTATAAAAAGGAAAAAAGAACAATCAAGAGTCCTTACATAGCTGTTTGAACAGAAAGCTTAAGTAGATGTTCTTTGCCTCTTCTCTTTAAGGAGGACTTAATATTGTGATTGAAGTAAGTCTGTTACCTTTACCTGTTGAGTATTTGCTTATTGAACCTAAGCAAATCAACTTTAAGCAGTTTGCTGGTTGAAGGATTTATATTGATTTCCAGTAGGACTCTTGTTAAAGAAATACTATTTTTTTAAAGCTCCTTATTATGTTCAAAAGAAAAAAACTACCAAGTGAGGAATACTTTTCCTTGAAGTATTCTTATATCTGTTTTTAAAAATGCAGCTCTGGAAAGAGATCCACTTTACTGACAAATAGTTTTTACCATCTGAGCCACCTTAAGAAAAGTATACTGAGCACACCAGGATGCTTGTGAGACAAGAAGACAAAGGAACCATTCACAAAATGACAAAGTACTGTGAGGTTGCCACTGACCTCCTCATTAATGCAAACATGAGTCTGGCATTTTTTACCAAAGATGCAACAAAAGATGCAGTTCCTATTTTGTTCTGAGGGTTCAGTATGACCTCCAGTAAGAATTCATGGAGGGGGTGGGGGGTGGCTGCTTCCGCAAAGATAAATTGGCTTAATTTTAGTGTGTGGGTATCTGGGAGAACTTTGTGTTATAGTGGTTAGTTAGGTAGGTAACAGTGACAACTTATGCATTTTTAGTGATGTTATTTAATGAGCCAAATAGGAGTGTTTTACCAAATGTCAAAGTTCTTGTATCATTAAGTGGGAGGTGTGCATGCAAAGAATTTTTTGCTCCTTCTGAAAGAAATTTATAACAGGTTACAGGCATGATATAACCTTTTGGTTTTTGAAATTTCTTATTCTTGGCCATTAGAAGTAAACATTCTCAGACATATTTGAATACAAAAATTTTTTGTTGATTATTTTAAATATAATTGTGTATATACATTCTTTCTACTTAGTCTTAATTTGGCAGTCAGGATCTAATGCAACTTAGCTGTTTTTACAACACTAGACTTATGTACCTTAAGTGTTTTCACCTCTGTGGTAACATTTGTCACTTTATTTTTTAATGATGTTATATAGCAGTTATGACAGTAGGATGGTTATAGAATTGGAATTTGAACCCCAACTGATGAGCTTATTATTAGCTTCTTGGAATAGTGATTGTATAGTTTCAACATTCCGTTTTAAAACAAGTAGTTAAAAAAGAGCTGGCATACTGAGGTCTAAAATTAGGCCGTACAGCAGAAGCCTATTCCTTTCTTATCTGGATGAAATATTTCATTTTTGCACTTTGAGACATATTCCCACTCCTGTATAAGCTACAAAGGAGCCTGAATGAATTGGATAGGAAAGAAAGAGGGTGCAAGCAACTTTCCGCCAGTTCT